CGGCTCCCCGCTTATGCAAATGAAGCCCGGGAAATTCAAATCCCGGGCTTCATTTGCAAGTGCGGTATGCCTACATTACCCTCCTAGTTCGAACTAGCGGGGTAGTGTAGACATACCCATATAGACTAGGCTCAGAGCTACTCAGACTCTCAGCATTTTGGAAACTCACTGATTTCCTCATGGAGGTCACACCTACAATTAGCTTAGTTCTGATAGAACTCAAGTGGATTTCTGGCCCACTCTGAGGAGAGCTATTTATGATTTGTAGAGGCTGTGTATATAGCAACTGACATCTCCACAGTAAGGATGTTAAAGACTAGTCGACTGACACGCAAATGCTTATTGGATAGTCAGTTGACTAGTCAGTTCCCCTCCTCTCCTTGCTGCCTCTATCAGAGGCAACAAAGGGGAAGGAAGAGGGGGTACTGCAAAGTGGCAGCACCATCCACCTTAGCCCCACCTGTGCTGTGCGGCACTGCCCCTTTGAAACACTGAGGCGGCGTTTCAAGACAGCAGTGCTGCGTGGAGCCCAAGCTCAGCTGAGGAGTCCCCTGCTGACCCTGGGTTCCATGCTGTGCTTCTGCTTTGAAATGCGCAAGAGCCCCCCGCTGGGGACTCTTGTACACTTCTAAGCTGGCACATCCGCCTGCAGCCCAAAGTCAGCAGGACTTTCAGCTGGCCCTGGGCTGAAAGCAGAGTTCTGCACTCCTCCTTTGAAATGTACAAGAGCTCCAGCAGGGGGTCTTGTACATTTCAAAGGAGGAATGCAGAAATGCCTCTTGAGCAGTCATTGGAAATTCCTTCGACTAGTAAAATTAGCGATAGTTAACATCCCTACTGCAGAGAGGAGATCATATTACAAGGAGGCTTAATATAAGCCTCCCCTCTATTTACTACAATCGACCTTAAAGCTCTCTTGGAAATGTATACTTTATTGCACTCTAGTTAATCAGCAGAATCCCTTTAGTTTTCCTCTTAATGAACAAAGAATCTTACATTTCTTAACATTTACTAGCTATAATTTTTTTTCCAGATCCATTTGATGTTGACTCAGGAAAAGAATTTTCCAATCCTAACAGACCAGTCTGCTCCACAGGGTAATTGCAGTTTTTGAGCTTCTTGCAGGAAGTGCTTTTATACCTCTGTGTTGTGGGGCGAGCCCACCTGTTCCCTCACTGGGAGTTCAGCCCCACTTGCATCCTAACATTGTCAGTAGTACCGCAGTCTGCACACTGGGCAGCATGGCCTAGCAGCCAGAGTAAAAAAAATACAGGGACAATTAGGGCCCCTTGTGGAGCTGGTGTGGAGGTATAGGGGAACCTAGGCCTGCCCTTTCCACCAGGTCCTAGCTCAGGGCCCTGTCAATGATGAAGTGGACCACCAATAGCTGAGTGGGGAATCCAGCCAAAACATGCTTAGAACCCAGGGTTCAACTCCCTGCCCTAGACTACTTCCTACCAGTTTCTCCTGCCTAGTCTGCTCTGTCTCTTTCCTCCTGTCCAAGGGCTTCTGCTGTTGCTGACTGGTGACTGCACCTGGGCCTGGGTGTGCCTGTGTTTCTCCTTTAGGAGCTCCTGCAGCACCTCCTTCCTCAGCAGTTGTCAGCACAGACTAAGCTGCCTCCAGTTGGAGCATGCCCAGCAGGGCTGTGGGGTGGGGCCTTCTCAGCCAGCTCCCAATGTGGGGTTGGTTCACCCCATCACACTCTGAAAAAACCTTATTTTCAGAATGGCACGTGATGAAGAATCTGTTGAAGAGGATAGCAGTGACGATGATGATAGTTCAGAAGAGGACAGTGAAGAGCTTGCTGCACAAACATCCAATAAACAAGTTATTTGGAAGGGAGTTAAAAAAAGACTAAGAGATTAAGGAGTTTATAAAGTGAGTTTTGAAAACTTGTACAATGAAATCCTGCATGTAATTTAAAATAAAATGAATTTAAATGTTATCTAGACTTTTTCCCAAACCGTGACATTATTTATGCTCCACTCCTGCAATCAGGTTTTTGTGAAGGGGCCACTGTACGTACTCCATTGACTTCAGCAGGGCAACATGGAGGTATAGGGGTCTGCCTGTGAATAGTGAATCCAGATGAGACCATGGAAACCCTAAAGGCCACGATGTTAATGCATAGCAACCAACAGACAAGAGAAAGGACTTTTTCCCTTATACACTTCTCTTCACAGAAATGCAGAACAAAGGCCAAGTTAAGAGCTGGGCACTCAGGGACATGGGGCTCTAGCCTTGGTCAGACAAAAGATGAGCGCAAAGATGGTTCCTAGGGCACCAGGTGACTAATACATGGTTACCTTGTTTTGAAAAGGCTGCTGATGTGTTTTATGCTGCAGGTGTCTGATTTAGCTGAATTCACTGTAGGGAGCCACTGCAAGAGATACGAGTTGATGCTGGCCAAGGGTCCACTTGCAAAGTTGTAGAGCATGGGCCTGCCCCTGTGGAATGGATAGACCTTTAAGGTGCATCTACAAAGCACTGTAATTTGAAATAAGATATGCAATTTGACCTACGTATCTTATTTTGATGCTATTTTGAACTAAAGTGCTATTCTAAAACATCCCTTACTCCTCGTAGAATGAGGTTTACAGGGACATTGGAATAGTGAGCCCAAAAAAACAGGCTTGCTGTGAAGACACAGGTATAGCTATTTTGGGATACTCCGCTATCCCGAAATAGCATTGCAGCATAGACATAGCCTTAAGAGTCCAGCATGCTAAAGGTGACTCTCCCAAAGGAATGACTGCAGGCTGGAGCATAGAGCAGACCTCTGTGAATCTATGAGAAGATGGAATAACATTGTGCTACTAGATATTATTGAATACAAGCAATATTGGGCAACTCTCTACCACTTTGAATACATGATGAAGACACTGAATTGTGTCTAGCATTAGAAATGTGATGAAAATAGTCCAAATGGAAACACTAAAGCAGAATGAACTCTGAAATTGTGCCCAGGTGAAGATGGATTGTAGAGGGAACCCAAAAAGTGTTCCTGTCAGTTTTGCTAACAGTCATGTAGAGTCAGTGGTTCAAGGAAGACAGGGTGAATAAAATCCTTGAATGTGTTTAGGGAAAGTAACAGGAGTGGGGCAGTGAGCATACATAGTCTCTGCAAGGTACAGGGGGGACAATTGTATTAGTCCTTGCAGAGAACACACTGGTGTCTAGCCTGGCCAGTTTTTCTGGAGAATCAGCCGCTTTTCCAGAAAAACTTGCCAGCTGTCTACACCGGCCGCTTGAATTTATGCAAAAGCACCGACTTCCTACTGTAAGAAATCTGTGCTTCTTGCAGAAATACTATGCTGCTCCCGTTCAGGCAAAAGTCCTTTTGCGCAAAAGGGCCAGTGTAGACAGCTCTGATTTATTTTCCGCTAAAAAGCCCTGCCATTTTTGCGATCGGGGCTTTTTTGCGGAAAAGCGCGTCTAGATTGGCACAGATGCTTTTCCGCAAAAAGAGCTTTGCAGAAAAGCTTCCGTGCCAATCTAGATGCTCTTTTCTATAAATGCTTTTAACGGAAAACCTTTCCGTTAAAAGCATTTCTGGAAATGCATGCCAGTCTAGATGTAGCCTTGGTGTTTGAGACTCAAATAATAAGCAGCAGTTAAGGAATTCATGTTTACACACAATCATAGCTGTTCTACTCTGTACATTTATAAGTGCTAGACTAGTGAAGCAGAGCAATTAAGCAACTTTTTTCCATAGGAAAAGATAGTTGAGA